TATATATATTAATTTTTATTAATAAAACATCATTAGAATTTAATTTAAAATATTTATTGTAGTATATTTTTTTGTTTTTTCTAGTTAGATGCTTCTGGATACTGTACTGTATTGTACTATCCACAGAAAAATCATGTAAAAAAAGTTAAAAAAAATTGCCAGCATTCTACAAAAACAAAACAATTTCGACATCCAAATCAGGTAAAACGAAATTTACTTGGTTTTTGTTTATTTTAAAGCAATTTAAAAGATTTAAATATAATTTTTATTCCCTACAGATTCAAAACCTAGCATTACAACATGATAATGAGATTGTATATGAATTAGTTAAAAATTATTATGTTGTGAAAACAGCTCTTGGAAATGAAAAAGTGAAAATATATTTAAATGTCTGGAAAAATACATCAGTAATTATATTATCGCAGTATGTACACAAATTTTATTATTGACATTCAATTTTTATGAAGAAATCTGTGCTAGATTGTCATAAAATTTTCTCAAACTAGATCAAAGCTTACTCTTAAACAAGAAATACAAAATAACAACAAAGTGAAAGCTTTCAATGTAGATAAAGCAATATATCTTTTATCAAAAGGTAATTTTAATATAAAAATATTTTACATAATTTAAAAAAAATAATAATGTAAATAAATTTTTTTATTATATTTTTAGCCGCTCATACTCAATTTATTAAAGACACATTACTTACGGAACCTGATAATCAAATCTGCATAGAAAACTGTAAATCTGTGAGTAAATAAAGTCTTAATAATTATTTTTTAAATTTAAAACAGTATGTAATTTTAAATATTTTATATTATTGTTTTTTTTTAGTTACAAAATGTTCTCAAAGAATATCAACATTATTTAATACAAGATAATTTAGCTTCACTTAAATCAACAGTTGCATTTTTAAAAGTTCTTGAACAATTTCGATCTGTTTCTACTAAAGATATAACAGATGCATTAAAAAATCCTAAATATAAACAAATACTGTAAGTATGTTTTTAAAATTTTTATAAATTTGTTTACATTACTTAAAAAATTATTATACTATGACTTCTAACACAATACGACTTCTAACTTTAACACTGCGATGAGTAATAATAATCCACAAAAACCTTTATATAACAGTGTTGTGTCCGTTACAATATGCACTAACGTTTTCGACCTCCACCGAGGTCTTGTTTCCTCCTGGCCATTGGAACGATGATGTCTGAGATGTAAATAATGCGCGTATTGCATTTCATCTCTCCGCTTGTCCCAGTTCGAATTCTTCGAATAAGTATCTCCACACCTGCGCGATCGACTCTCCATCTTTAAAGTTGATACACAATGTTATATAAAGGTTTTTGTGGATTATTACTATGATTACACAAGAACAAATAAGTGAATATTTTCTTAAAGTCATCCACACTTAAATATGACTTGTTATGGGCAAAAAGGTTAGTGTTCATGAAGCATCTGTTAGACTGGATGTTGCTTTTTGGAGATTAGGAAAAACTGGCTAGACTTGCATAACTGATTATGTAACAAAGGAACAAATATTACACAAAAGATAACACTGACATGACACATGGAAGGTGAGCACTGAAAAGGTGAGAGTAAAACGAGGTCACCATCACCATCAGCTCCCCGATAGGTCAACAGCACCACCAACCTTTTATGTAACAGAAAAATATTTACAAAACATCACACAACGCATTGTACGTATCAGTCATATAATATTTAACAATGACTTCAATCATTGATTCCAACAGCATCATCCACTGTTAAAAGTGCATTGATTACTTCAGCAGAGTATGTTGTGTCCTCCTGCCATTATTATCAAACATATAGGCTACATATATTATTTTTGTGAATAATATTGTATATATAAAATGAGAAGAACAAAGAAAATTGGGTGGTAGAGAGAGTATCTAGAAGGAACAAAAATGCTGAAAAGTTTTGTAAATTTAAATGTCTGAAAAAAAGCATGCTGAACTTAGATCAGTGAAGATTAACCTGCTAACAAAGTATAAGAATTTTGGAAGGGAAGAAATTTAGGCTCCAATATTTTTTGGATAATGCTTTATAGAATATCTAAATTTTATTTCGTCATAATTAAATTTTTTAAATATATAAAAATAATTTTATTTATTGTGTTGTTCTAGACCTCAGCTTATTGATGTTTTAGCAGCAAGCCAAATAGAGCAGTCAGTCAAAATTGCTAGAGATACAATGAGCTATTTTAAAGAAGAAGATTTACCAGAAAGATTTTTACTTAGTCTTTCAACTGCATCCCATCCAAGTCATAATTTATTGAATGATCTCTTGGTATGAATAACCAAAAGTAAATATTTATATATATATATGTATTTTAAAGTTTCTTATGGTATATTAATATTGTATTTTATTATTAGCTTGCTTAATTTGTAATAATTTAAACAGAATTACCTAAAATATTATACAGTAGAGTCCCGAAAACTCGGCACTCGATAACCCGGCAGTCCGGATAACTCGGCCACACACTGGCAGGGTGAAAAAACCCCTAGTTCATTTTCATTATAGACAGATTTATGTTTCACAAAGTATTATTCTTAGGTCTGTCTTATCAGGTAAATTACTGTACACTGTGTATTCATTAATTTTCATTTTCATGTAGTAATGGCTCTATGTCTTCATAAAGTACATACTTTTCCTTTGTTTAAGGGTATTTGGGCAGTTTATTCTTTGTTGTATTCTCAAGCAAACAATACATACAAGTACAGTACAGTATTTTCTGAGAACTCCACACTCGTACTTATTTTTTTTTAATGCCATTCCCAATAACCTGGCATTTTCATAAACTCGGCCACCCTTCGGTCCACATTAAGCTGAGTTTTCGGGACTCTACTGTACCATAAATTTCATACTTTTGTATTAAGTAACAAATAATTTATTTTGAAAATGATTTGAATAATTTTTTCTTTTTTTATAGGAATTTTCAAAAATTAAATTTAAAAATGATAAATTAACAACTTCAGCATTAATGGCACTGGGTGCACTAACAAAATCATTTTGTAAAATGCACAAAAATAATGGAGATAAGGTAAAGAAATATTATAGTTTACTGATTTATTACTTTTGATATATTGATAATTACTTAAATTTAAAACATTTTAGCAATTATCAATACTACACATAATTTAAACATAATGCACAGCATATTAGTTTCTGACAGATTCACTATTCCAATAAAACACAACTCGTATCTCTAAACCTTTTACCGGTGTGCGTATCATCTCACCCTATAACAGTTACAAATGTTTTCGAACCATTACGGTTCTTCTTCAGGTGATGATCCCCTAACAGAATGCAGTTCAACAATGTTACGAAATACAGTCCGAAACGATGTCCCAACCCGATGACGTCACTACGGACTATTCCAATAAAAATTTGAAACAAATAATATTTAACTTAATATTAATCAATCATTAATTTATCATGTTTTATTTAACTATATTAATTAATTTTTAAACTAGCTAGTACAAGAAATTCAAGATTTTCTTACAAAGAAATTACAAGAATGCGATGATGAAAATTGTGCATTGATGTATCTCCATGCTTTAAAAAATGCAGCACTGCCAAATACTATACCAATTCTTTTGAGATATGTTATGAGAAATAGTAAAGCTTCTTCAGTAGCCATGATGGCTATTAAAGCTGCTGCTGAAGATCACATTTTGAATGATGAAGTAAGATTTTTCATTTATATTCAGAGTATTGTTAAAAAAGAATATGTCACATATATAATAGCTTTTGTTTTGAAATCAGAAAATCTAATTTTATTTGCTGATTTTATTGTCTTTAAAAAACTTTAATGTATTTTATAAATATTGCACACCCCAATAGCAATGCATGTATTTTTCTGCCAATTCCCCATCCCCGCTAGTTACCCTTTAAGATGTTGCTATGCAGTACTTAGTATTGTAGAAAAGCCTCAATCTCTCTGCTCTTCAGATTTTGTAGTATCATAGAACTTACTAAGGTTCTAAAGGTAAGAAGTTGAAGGACAGTGAGATTAAGGCTCTTCTGCAGTGCTTAGAAGTCCTACAGAGCAGCAGCTAAAGGGATAGTTAGTCTGAATTTTAACTTCTAGCACTGAAACAATTCATTTGAAAGGCTATTTTTATAACACATTTTACGTCTCTAGAGCACACTGTAAAAATATTGCCTCTTTCATACAGAATACCTTCTATATATCTTTTTATTAAGTACAGTACACTTGTACAGTATGTGCAAATCAGATCAAACAATAAAAAAATAGTTATACCTTAATATTTTTTGAAACAATATTTTGTGTATTATTTAAAATGAAGTATTCTGATTTCAAAACAATTTATCATATATAAATTGATCTTGATCTGTAATGATTATTTAAATATATATCCATAAAAAATAATTTGTTTTTGTATCAGATTTATTTAAAACTTTTTCTTTTATTAGAATAAGTTGTTGCTAAAGAAAATCTATCATCAGTTATGGAAATACCAAGACAGCACAACTCGCATCATTGCTGCTGAACTTCTTATTAAAGGGAACACAGGAAAGAGTGATTTAGAGGAATTACTTTTATCTTTAGCAAATCAAGATAATCCTGAATTATCTACATTTATTCATGCAAAATTAGAAGAAATTAGGGAAAATAATCATACTTTAAGGTAAAATTAAAATGTATTTTTAATATACTCTTTTTTTACATTTAAAATCATACTTTCTTAATCTTATTTTCTTAATATTATCTTATCTACATCAATGTTCTTCCAAAGATAGTTTTAACTATCTTAAATTTCCACCAACCAGTTAAAAAATATAGCATTCAAATTACAACCCACCACACTGGGAAATACGTAATAATGAACACAGAACCAATATAGCATTTGTATTTTTATTTATTTATACACTGATCCCCATGCTCTGTGAACTTTGGTGTGGAAGCTGAGAGATTATTAATAGAAAGAGGATTTGTCAACTTCCTCTGGAACATTTTATCATCCACTGCCATATTTGTGTGTCTGGTACTTTTCAGCCCACTGCTTCCACACTCGCATCACTGTCGTGGCATTATGCCCCATACAAGTTGCAATTTCATGATAAGAAAATCCCTCTTCACACGGGCCAGTCATTCTCCCCCATACAAACTCCATAATCTGCTCATATGGTGTCTTTTGTCATTGACGAGGCATAGTGACTTCTCATGAAATGTTTACCACTGGCAGACAATGATACACTACTTCCAACTTTCCACTACTGTTCTCTATTTATACGACCGTTTACTGGGCACTTCTCTGCCATGCATGCACTATCACTCTGATATCATTTACATGTCATACCTTGCTTTTCATTTCCTGTAAGTTTCAGTTTATTTGCATGATTCCTTCATGGTGTTGCAATTTTTACAAACATGAGTGTACAGTAATACCCCGAACTTACGCGATAGGTGGGACCGAGCGATAACCGCGTAAGTCAAATCTGTGTAAGTCGGAGTATAATTTCGCAATTTGTGTAAAATCCAAGTCAGATATATGTAAGCTAATAAATGTTCTCGTTAATCTTATCTCGTCTTTTGATTCGTTCACGGTTACAAGAAATCACCAACAAGAGTTTCTCAAGTCTCCGTAGATATAACAAACACAGAAATAAATAACACAAAATAAATTGTAGCTATGTGTCGATTCCACGCGACATGTCCGAACACGTAAGCTGAACAATAGTGTGGAGGGAGTGAGTAATCAAGAGTTGCATGTTGCTGAAACAAGATGAATCGACGAGATTTGAAAATTGCGTAACTCCGGGTTCGCGTAAGTCAGGGTAGCGTAAGTCAAGGTATTACTGTATATGTAAATTGATAAATATATAATTGAGGTTTAAAGTTTTAAATATTGTTTAATAATTTAGTAATTTAATTCTTTACAGAAATTTATTGAATGAAATTTTGAAGAATTCTACAATAAATAATTATTATAATATTGCACAGAAAGGATCATCTGCAGCTTTTAAAAGACTAATTGCAGGTTAGTTTTCTTGAAAACAAAACATTTTATTTTCAGGAATAATACAAAGGTATGCTTTTCAAACTGAATTATGATTTTGTAAATTATTATTACAGATTGAGAGAAAAATGAGCTTCATATTTTCATTGTAAATTCTATCAATACATAAATGTTAAAAACAATACATTTTTATTAGAAGAATTATATGTATAATTGATATTAGGAAATTGTATAAAGAAAAAAGTTTGAAAATGTTCATTTAAAAATTATTTCTTTACATATTTATGTTAAAAATTATTGTATAAATTATTTTATTTGTATTAAGGTAAGCCATGTTACGGGGTTAATTAATTAATTAATTAATTAATTTTGCATTCCTTGTCATTTTTGAGTTGACAAAGCCCATCTTTTGTGTTCACAAAATTTAAAATCTTTGAGTACATCCAAACAAATTAATTCACAACACAAAAATTTAAAGTTCTCAGAACAGAAATTCAAACTTTTTCAATGCATCCAATTCTAAGGAGATACTTATAGTTCAAAGCAGACAGCATCTGCTTGGGGCAGCAGCACAGTACATTTTCAGGGTGATATTTCATGAAACACAATTAAGAAATTACAATTAAAATTTAAAAAATTTGTATTTTGTGTTTAAAATAATTAAAAAAAACTATTTTTCTTACCCAATTTTTAAAAGTAAGGAGGCAGCAAATAAAACTGTTTTGATTGGGATGGCAAAAAATCTAGACCAGTCCCAATCACTCCTCAACAGACTGAAAAGTGTATAACTTTTGAAAATAATTCTCTTTCCTGTAGTCTTTTCTAATTATATGTAAAAGTGTTTGCTCCAGTGAACTACATAAGACAAAATGGCTAACTTCTCATTCTCTCTTCCAAATTTCTCCAACATGAAATTTACTAATAGTTACTCCAAAAAATAAGCTTTTCATGAATTCAAAACAAAATTTTTAGATGACGTTTTATCATTTTTAAATAGAAATTAGATAGATTGTTTCCCTTAAGCAAAACAAACTAAAATTATCCATGTATCAATTCCTAATACTCTGAGAGACCAAATTAAAATCCATCTCAGATCCTTAGGAATTTTTCTAAATGATCTGGTCTGGAAATATCTGGATGCTAATCTTGAATTATGTGAGTAACACAAGTGTTGAGAATATCATGTGGCATTCGCTGAATGAGTTTGTGACATGATACTCTGAGTATATTTGTTGCCATCCACATAACTTGAGACTAGGCATCCTGGTCTGAAAAATTTCCTAAATATATCAGGTTCATCCCTCACTACGTGACCATCCCATTCTGAATTCGACCAAATCCAGAAAGCCCACAAAAAGTGATATCGGAATAAATTGCAATACAGTAATACCCCGTACTTACATGATAGGTGGGACCGAGCGATAACCGTGTAAGTCGAATTTGCGTAAGTCGGGGTATAATTTCGCAATTTGTGTAAAATCCAAGTCAGGTGTATGTAAGCTAATAAATGTTTTCGTTAATCTTATCTCATCTTTGATTCGTTTACGGTTACAAGAAATCACCACATAGAGTCTCTCGAGTCTCCGTAGATATAACAAACACAGAAATAAATAACACAAAATAAATTGTAGCTATGCGTCGATTCCGCACGACACGTTCGAACATGTAAGCTGAACAATAGTGTGGGGGGAGTGAGTAATCAAGAGTTGTATGGTGCTCAAACAAAAGACAAATTGACGAGATTTGATAATCGTGTAACTCTGGGTTCACGTAAGTCGGGGTAGCGTAAGTTGAGGTATTACTGTATATTTATTATTTACTGTTAAATTAAGTCTCATTATATATGTCAAACTCTTAAGAGTATTAAATGAAGGAAGTAATTTAATTTCTGCGGTGTAAAAAATTAATAAATAAATAAATTTCAAAATTTACGATTGATACTTAAGAATGTAATTAAATTACAAATGATGAAATATATATTTTTAAATTTTAGTTGGGGATACAGCAAATTTTACATTTGGCGTCAATATGGAAATGATACCGGGAGGTATGTTAAAGAGAAGTACATTTGATTTAATTTTAAGCACTTATGAAGAAGAATTAAAACTTCTCAGTGTAAGTAACTTTGTAATTGTATAAATATTGTGTGAATTACACTGTAGCAAATTTAATGATGGTTCTTAATTCTACTAGATTGGATTATTTACTAATGGATTTGGAAGTAATTCTGATGATAATGCAGATATTCCAGTAGAAGATGAAACAGCCGGAATGGAACTAAATATATTTGGAGTCAATCTTCGTCCTTTCACATTTTTTACTGGTAGAGGAGAATTAATGTCACACGTATGGTCTGGCACTGCAAGTGAACAGACTCCTATAATTCAGGTAATTACAATACTTAATAATGATTTTCAAAACATTTTATAAATATTTTATATAAAACATATATTTTTATTAAATGTTTATTATAAACGATTGTATAATTTTCATACAAATTAGTAAATTGAATAGATCAATCAAACAAAAAGTGATAAATTCTCAGTGTAAAATATAAATTAGGTGGTCTTTTCAATATACCAATAACTGAGCATTAATCAGTTGCAGAGCCTTTCTAAGCTCATCTTAAGTACAGGGCATCATGTAAATGCACAGATATGCAATCTATGCATTCACATGCTTATCAAGTATATCATGACTTCAAACCTCACTTCACAGATAGAATAATTGTCTTTTCATAAAAATTGTCTAAGCACATTAAACACCACAATAGTGGTACATAAAATATCACACTAGACCATGGTACTTTTTACCAACAAAATAGCACAAATATTATGGTTTTTAACAGTACAGTAAGACCCTGCTTTGTTGTCTAGGAACGCATCCCCTGCGTTCCTAGACAACAAAGTGCTGAGCGAAACAGCATTAAACAAGGTCATTTTAACATAGTAAATAGGGATAGGGGAACATGTGACCAAAAATAAACAAATTTTACTTTAATTTTAAGTTATTTTTATATTAATTTGTATAATATATATTAAATAACACATAAACAGGCGCACAGAAATGTAAAGTTCATTTTTTGTGATGAAGATCCTGGCTCTTCTGAAATTCTTGTTTTTNAAATTTTACTTTAATTTTAAGTTATTTTTATATTAATTTGTATAATATATATTAAATAACACATAAACAGGCGCACAGAAATGTAAAGTTCATTTTTTGTGATGAAGGTCCTGATTTTTCTGAAATTCTTGTTCTTTTGCAATAAAGTCGTAAAGTTTCATTTGTCGCTTTTTTCTTTCCTTAAGCAAATGTCGGTAGCAGAAGATGGCATCCAAAATGCCTTGTTTTTCTTTTGCACTCCTTCAAAATCTGGATCATTCGCTCCAATTTAATCGATGATTTCAGTTATGGTTACCAAACTTTTACTAAAGAAATCTGTAGAGAAATTTTTTGGGTTCTTCATTTTCAGGATCTCTATTTTCCAGTTTCACATGAATTCCATGTTCTGCCAGTTCTTGAAGATCGTCATTCATAAGGCTCTAACCAGAAACCTGCTGTTACTCCTCACTATCCCATTCGTCTACATCTCCAGGTCCTGCTGTATCGATTAGGTTGAATTTGATCAACCTAACGATATAGTGATAGGCTCTTCTCATTGAGAATTCTTAGATACCTTTAGCCATAACTTCTTCCATGCATTTATCAGTTAATTCTTGCCAAGCGAAGCTGATATTGCCTATGGCATCCGTGATGTTATATTTTTTCCAAAATTACACCAAACAAACATAGATTTAAAGAAAGTACACCTTTTTTGCCACCTTTTGCTGATTGGTTCATGTTTGTAAATAACTGTATTATATACGAATCTTAAAATGCCATGATAATTTAAATCAGCATAAATTTTGAGCTTTTTTTAGGCTTTGAGCAGACGGCATTATATCGAATCAGCATTAAGCAAGGCAGCGCTAAGCAGGGTCTTACTGTATATTGAAATTTATAAAATTGATTAAACTATATTATATAGATTTGGGATCATCTGTTAATTACATTTACAAATTTTGAGCCACTTTTGACCCCTTCCTCCCTGTTTGAACAGATGAACCTCTCTCCCCTTTATTGATTGCAAAGTTCTGTAAATATTCTCCGAGTTTCTTCACTGGTAAGTACACTTATAAGAACAAATTTGTACGCCATTAATACCACACTAAAATAAATCCATGCAGATGTTCTTTTCTCAACCCTTAAACTGTACACGTAAGTAGGGGATGGCCCATTCAAATTTAATTTGTAAAAAGTATAATAATATTTTCTTTAATTGTCTAATATTAAAATTTCTATAACAAATTGAAGTTTTATACGTTAACAGTTTTGTAAATTTGAAAATATAAAGAAAATTTTAGCTGTATTTTCTTCATAATTTTAACCTTTATTATAAAGTTTAGCAAAACACATTAAGAATATAAAAATTTGTTATACTGTAGAATAGAAATTTAAAAATTTCTTAATCATTTTCTTTTAGGGAAATTATTTATTTATGGATTCATCTGAATTATTTGGTCTTCAGAATGGATTATTAATTGATATAAATTTAAAAGGAGTTCTTTCACTTGATTTATCAGGTTCTATTCAGATCTCATTATGGAATAAGAATGCTCATTCAGTACTTTTAGTCAAGTAAGTTTTATTATAATAATATAAAATTAAATTTAGGAGAAAAATGTATTTTATTTTAAATACAATAATTACATAATACATAAAAATCACTTCAAATTTTGTAGCGCATCTGTCTTGATGATTCAGTCAGTTCAAGTGGATACATCTTACGCCAAAAGTCGTATAGATTATACAATGGGAGGAGAATCTTTATTAGATATTACAACTAATTTAGATTTTTATGAAAAACCATCAAAATTATGCATTCAAGTTCAACAACCGCATTCTACTTTCAGGTAAAGGTTTTAAAGAATACAAAATATTTTTTAAGTACAGTTTTCCCAATAAAATTTACATATTTCATACCATTTAATTTCATCCCCCTCCATTAATATTAAATTCCATTGGGAACACTTTGAATGAATTAATTACACATTGATCTTCAGATAAATCAAAGATCATTAATTATTCATTTTATAGCATTTCAGAAAGTTTATTGCATTTAATAATTGCATAAATATATTATTTTGTTAATATTTTATGTATTTCCATTAGATAAATATAATATGTATAGATTATAATTTACATTATACACTTTTATAAGAGAATATGATATTTTTAGGCAAAACGTCCGGAAGATGGAGAGCGTACCGGGCAGTCAACATCTCATAAGAACATTAAGAAAGAAGATATTTTACATTCCTGGAAAATCATTTGCATTGCACAAAAAGAATTATTTAGCATGTGCAGCTATGTTAGAGTCTTAAATATGTAAATAATTATATTAAATGAAAAATAATTTATTTTTGAAATACGTTATTATAAATAAAGGCCAGTGTTTGTCATTATAAGCATCTTGTCATGGAAACGTATTATGTCTCTTTAATCTTATTATTTTGAATGATTCAAAGAATGATAAAAAGACTATATAAAAACTCATGGTTACGTAAAATATTAAACTTCATAAATACATGTTAATTCAATGAAAAAAAATTTAATAGTCAAATTCCTAGCAAAAGTTTTTCAGTAGTCTGTGACCAAAACGGCTTATAAATTTTTTTCTATTGAATCTACGTATAATACAAAATGAAAAGAAATAGATAATTGGTCCAAAAGACAGTAAACTTTTAACACAAAAAAAAGGAAGTTATGAAATTTCTAAGTATTTTTGGTCTATTTTGCTTAGTTTTTTCTTCAGATAGTGCAACTTGAGTAGAAGTCGACAAATGTGCTTGTCCTGAAAAGAAAAAGTGATTTAAAATATGGCATTTTCCGCTATATTCATCAGGTTTATAATCTGTTTTCCAAAACTTCTTTTATAAAAAAAAACAAAAAAACTCTAAAAACATAATGTTAATATCTTCACAGAAAGTAATTAAAAAAATATCTCTTAAACAGTCAATTAAAGTTAATCTTGTATTTATAATGGGATTGTAAAAATTAGTTGCCAAAAGTCTTAAACAATCTAGGCTTTTACTTAGGGCACTTTCAGGAGTCTCATACATACACAAATATATGTTTGTGTATACAAAGTTTAGTCCAGCATTCCAATAGCTAGAATCTTTAGTTTGTATCATAAATACTGGCTTTACATATTTTATAATAATAATAATAAGGGGTTTTTGCAAGTTCATTTTCATTTATAGCCTTAGATAATCTGAAACTGTCACAAATTTTAATTGCATTGAAATAACAAGGCTGGTGCAATAGGTGCATAGGAACAGACACAGAGGAAGCTTCAAAATGGAAGTACAAAAAGTTGTCAATGGTATTATAGCATTATAGTTTCTTGATTAAAACTTCATTGAAAAAAATAAAGAAAATGGGAATAATAAGTAAAAATTGATAATAAAATGATGTGGTGTATAATTATTATAAGAATGTGACAAATGTTTCTATCAAAATAATGTTTCGTGGCTTATAATTCTAGAAAAAATAATTATAAACAATAATTCTCTGTAAATATTATTTCAAAAATATTCAAATTGCATCCTGGATAATTTAATCTTTTAAATATTTCTATTTTTCACAAAAGATTATTTTTCCAAATGTATTAACATATAAAGAAAGTAAAAAATTTTTGTATACATTCTTTCATATAATAATAATAAAATTATTATTATTCCATTCTTTTAAAATCGAATTCGCTCAACTTCCTTTTTGTACAAATTGAATATCTTCCTTGTCCTCTCTTCACTATAGAATCCAAACTTCTCTTTTCTTAGATGAAATATACATTTCAAGAAACATTCCATGATAAGGAAATTTCCTCCATCAAAGAAGAATCTTTACTTTTAAAAATTGGATAGTTGTTTTGTTCACAGTCTTTTTGAAAGCCGAATATTTATTTTTCTTTTAAAAACAATCTCCGGATTCAAATTTAATGTATTCACAGCAAACTATACTGAATTCTTACCTGACAATGATGTTTGTTTTGAAAAAGTAGACTGGTATTACTATACTCTGTTTCCCCACAAGCAATTCTATGAGGATGGCACTGGTCTTTTTTTGATACTTCTTTATCATCTGTCCATTTCCATTCCTCTTTCGATTCCTTCATCTCTATTTCTAGAACCTATAAGAGTATTATTGGCATTAATTTCTTGCTTATACGTTAAAAAAATTCGAATATCATAGTTTCCTCCCAGTTGAACCAAAGATCAAACAAATAATTCTTATTTATTCATGCACCAAACTTAGATTTAGCGCAAAATGAAAGTTTCAGTTCACCTGTTGGTCTTTTCCTCCTCTTCTTCCTCCTCCTCCTCCTCCTCCTCCTCCTGAATTGACTCGGTGATATCGTGACTTTGATTCCTGGAAGAGACTGGTACTATTTAAATCTGCATCCATTAAGCCAACACAAGTTATAATTACGTTCCTACTTACGGTCTTATTGGAAATTCTAAATGGTGTGTATCGGGTGGTCCACTGACATTCTGAAAATAAAGAAAATTTCATGGCGATCCGTTTTGTGGTTTCGACAGAAAATACGAATAAAAATCTCACTAGAGCAAAATGAATTCGGATTTTTCGTTCTGAGTTCGAGTTCTCGTTGAAGACGATGCTTTTCTGCTGTCAGTTTGCAATTCTCTTCGGCCAGAAACACCAAATCGCGATCTCTAGCCTAAAATGTTAAACAATAAAACTTAGATGAATGGATAAAATTGAGCGATTAGACTTTAAATAGCAAGAGCACCAACTCTTATAATCAGATTCTTATCTCTTGTCAAATTCAAATGCTGGTTTGGTTCTTCAGAAGAATGCCCATGTGAGGGGCAAAGAATGGAAGTAAGAGAATTTTCCATTAGAATCTAACACAAAGAAAGAAAAATTTTAAATATATATTATTATATTAAAATTGGTTTTCTAAACTTTCCTCCTGTGGGTACTATAAGAGGGTCTTTTTGTTATTATTATTAAAAGCAAGCCCATTATGGGTCGGAAGTTCGTATATAGTTAATCGGGGGCCTCCTGCCCATAAGCTTTCCGGATCTATCTTAATTACAATTTTTTCAATTGCAACCCAATCAGCCAAAAACGTTTTCGAATTACCATTGGCCTTCTTCGGTTGGAATTCAAACTTAAAAAGAATGTAAAAAGAAAAAAAAAATTCGAAAACATACTAAACGCAACGGAAATAATTTAAATGAAAAAGAACGGGGGGGAGTTCTAAATCAATAGAACATTTATTACATGGGACACATAAATGGAAAGTTAATTAAAGTTCATATAAAGATTTCCATAACGTGTCAGCATTTATACCATTGAAAATTGTTAGACATGGCATCATTTTGTAACGCCATGCCTAACAATTTATACAGTATAATACAACGTCGGGGCCGTTGAGAGGGAGGGGAACTGGGAATTTGTCTCAGTTTGTCCAAGTTTCCGTAAAACTTTCCCCGTCTTCGGACGTCCAACAAAACTCGACCCCTTTCAAAATCTTTATCGCTTTATGAATAATAAAATGCATAAACTGCGTAAAATTTAATGAAATGAAACGGTCGTTCATTGAAGTTCAACTCCTCCCCCCCCCTTGTCCGAAATATCATAACGTCTTCCCCCCTTTCTAGTGTGGACGTCATTTATAGACAGTCCATAAAAAAATATTCTACACATTTTGTCTGTTCAAAGTCGGCAAATGGGGCTCGCTAAGACGACGAGTGACCCCCGTACAAGCTGTCATTGACACTTAGTGTATTTCCAGTGTAATTTCAACACTTAAGATAATTACATACTGTTAAATACTGTACGGCGCGTTCGCAATGTTTTCATTTAACTAGAAACATTTAACACTTTCCTGACACGGTAAACGTATATATCAATTAATTTTAAATATATTAAAAATAACATTTTTAAAATCCACTCACAGCTTTCTTCTTTCGCACGTTCGAATAACGGTCGTTTGTAGAATAACGGTTTTCGAATTTTTAAAATTAACTTAACTGAAAACGAAAATTGTGTTTTGCATGTTTTATATTTTTCTTTAATTGATAAAATTTTAAAAAGTCAATTTATATGAAAATATATCCTGTTAAAATGTTAATTAAAACTTCTATCGTTAATTTTCTAAAGCCCTCTAGTGACCACGAACTAGTTATTGATAATCAAAGTTTAGGACCTTCAACAGGGCTAACAAATTAACCTGATCTTGCATCCATGCCTGCCTGCTACAACTGTGAAACACCCTACGACCATTGCGGCCGGATGGCCGAGTGGTCAAGGTGGCAGCCCATCACTCTGGGGGAACCGGGTTCGAATCCGAACGGGTCGAAAAAAACCCCAGGAATTTTTCGGGGGATGGTCCGTTCGGATATGACGGGCCCCATCCCTCACCATCCGGCAGTCCTATTGTGGGCCTGACCGAACCCATAATGGGCTTGCAAAAAGAGGCCCTCTTAGTGCCCACAGGGCGGAAAGAGTTAAAAAAAACCCTATGACCATTGAGCCGTCACCAGCGAACGACCTTCTTTTTCTTCTTTTTTTTATATACTCTTTCCGCCCTGTGGGCACTAACAGGGCCTCTTTTTGCAAGCCCATTATGGGTTCGGCCAGGCCCACAATGGGGCTGCCGGGTGGTGAGGGACGGGGCTTGTCATATCCGAACGGACCATCCTCCGAAAAATTCCTGTGGATTCCTTGACCCGTCCGAATTCGATCCCGGGTCCCCCCAGAGCACTAGGCTGTCACCTTGACCGCTCGGCCATCCGTCCAATGACCCTCTGGCACGAGATGCCAGGGTCATTGGCCGGGATGCCAGGGTGGTAGCGGTAAGTCCCAAAAACATAGTCTTAATGGCTTAGCCAGAAGGATAAGCTAGGCCAAAGCTTACAGCCAAGAGGCCTCGATCAAAGGCAAGGTGCGGAAGTTTCCCAGGCCCTAGAACTGGTGAAACAGACCGCTTACAGATACACAAACCCTGCACCTTGATCTTAGCCAAAATGCCTACAAGCCAACTAGTTACTACCAGATAATGTCTAATTTACACCTAAGGAATATATATATTTTTAATTCTGTCCGCCCTGTGGGCACTAAGAGAACCTTTTTAGCAAATCATTGCGGGTTCGGCCGGGCCTACCCCGGAACGACATATCCGGACAAACCCCCCCGAAAAATTCCTGTGGTTTTTCGACCCGTCGGGTTCGTTTCGGGCCCTCAAGAGTGGTAGGCTATGCACAGAAGCGATATTTTAATGCAAGGACTTTGCGTCTATATGTCGCAGCATCAGTAAGCATCCGGTGGTTGCAATTAGAGTACTGTATCTGTTTAAAGTGCTCTGTAGCTACAACGAATAAACAGAATGGCATCAAAATTTGTATTCAAGTCACGGGGAGAAGAATTACGTGAAAATCTTGTTTTAAAATGTACGCCCTTCAACATAAAACATTAGATCCACAGCCTGAAAGTTATTCGTTTATTCGCGACATTTGAAGATGTCGCTGACAGTTGAGTTTCGAAACGGATTACCGTCGTTTTAGGTCAAAAAGTCCATGCTGGCTGCAGAATGCAACGTCTGGGGAACGTTGAATTATGTTGTATTTTAAAGCCGCTAGCTTGGAAACGCCTCTTCAATTGACTTTAGCTATGAAGTGACCCCTTCCTTGGTGAAATGATGTCGTAACAACTGCTACCCCGATCTTGAGATATGAGGCAGAGCGACATCTTGCATAAAAATTCTCATCCAGGCATTCTCTGTGTGTCATTGCATCCGATAACATATAAAGTTTGACAATTACATCTAATACATTAGGCAGAGTGAGAGGCATGTTTTACCATTTTTTAAGAATATAGGTATGCACTTCCGACACTCAACTTTTTCCCCCTCCCTGCTGGAAAAAACACGATTTATGTGACACATTCTGGGACTAAATATTTTTCGCCTAATCTCTCCGCCTTGAATACTTCACGTACAAATTTTGGTGTCATTCTGCTTATTCATTGAAGCTACAGAATGCTTTAAACAGATACACTTTAATTGCCACCACCTTGCACACGGAAGCAATGAGATAATGCACCCGTACGAGACTCCCGAAATGTTCCGGAACCTCACTAAATTCGTTAATGTTTATTACATTTTTTTAAAATAAAAGGAACAAATAATAATAATATCGGTAATGAGAAAGAATACCTTTACTCAGAAACACGACAAAAGACTAGACAATGCACGTCCCATTTCCGATTTCTGCAACCTCACACACATGACGAATTGCTGCAGAAATGACTCTTACATTTGCTTCCATGTTTTTTAAAGACTGCATTCCTGCGTAAATATCTCTTATTTAGCTGTTAGGTCTGTTTTATAATTGTCAGAAAGAGGAATCCACATGATATAGTGATATTTTGGTGGTGGAACCGTCAGAGGTGATATGCATGTGCTGTTTCTACTGTACAATTGTTTCACAATTAATTAGAGGATTCCTTAAGGTGTTTCTATTGGTTCGTACACACGGATACTGGTTAAAATCGATAGTAAAACTAAGTTTGTTATTTGAAGCCATCTTACCAGAATGCTTTACACTCTTCCGATTGGCTGAAATGTTTAAGGATCCACTAATTTCAAGCATGATTTTACATGATTATAAAACAATTGCCAAAACAGAAAACTTGTAAATGCGTTGCAAAACCGTATCCACTTGTTTTCTACATTGCAAAGGGTGATTGTGAAGCAGGCTTTAGTCTCCTGAAGAAAAGCTGGTAAACTCCACTTGGTCAATCTGTTGGACGGGTGTGAACCCACGAATGATTAACACTACTTAAACAGTGTCCAATGAATATCCATTCTGATGAGCACCAGTTTGGGTGGGAAAATTCCACCCGGTGGTTTCCTTTATAAGTGATAAAATTACATTAGATATTAGACTTAGTGCAGTTTTCAAGGCTGCATTGTACAGTACTGTACATGGTGATAAATTGATAATGTGCTGGATGATATCAAATGGAGTACGAGGAAATCACAGATATGGAGGACCCGAAATCCTATTTAAGCATTGGGTCAAGGGCTGCTTTGCTGAATATTCTGCCAAGCTTTTTGCAAGAGAAAAATGGAAATTATATTGAAGGGTAATTTCTGTAGAAGACGTGTACTGCTTTTCTCACGTTTCAGTCAAACAGGTATTATCCTATGCGTGTCTTTAATATATTTCCAGTCCAGTACATAGCAAACGAATTTCGAGTAAAAAGGTTTCATTGTCTACAGGCAAGCGCCAAATCCGACAAAGGGCGCCGTTTTTCAGCCGAGATGGCTGCTGAAACAGGTAACTGTGGTGCTCGTGTCGAAGAGAGCACGCAAGCACAGGTTATATCGAAAAGCCACGCTATGTGTTGCGTGGTAGGCTGCACTTCCACAGCATTACCTGGACTTATAAGCTTACATGTATTCCCGAAGTGTTCAAAGCTAAGAAAACTACGATCTTTAGAGAAAATGCTACCCTCAACAAATGTTGATAAAAGGAGTGCTCATGCTGCAGCTCGAGCAGCTTCAGGTAATGTTGCTAAATGTCTGTTAAACATAGAATATGGTTTACATAAGAGGAGTTGCTCAATATTTAAGTGGGTTTTTTTTTTTACCTGCTATCAGGAGACACTGGGAAGAGGACCGATCGTGAGGCTGAGAAAGAATTAACAGCAGCTGAAATGTTGTTGGAGCTGAGCTCAGTTAAAGAAGTTAAAAACAGCAGAAGTGTCATTGGAGCTAAGCTCGGTCAACAAAACATCAGAGGAAGATGGACAATCCAGAGTTTTTACCACCTCCACATCACATGAAGTTTTGCATAATATTGTGTTAAGTTCAGAACAACCTACACTTGTCACCATGATTCAAACACACAGACAGCTCTATGCATTTACTGGAATACAAACGTTTGACTTGTTGAATGATATTGTTAAAGCTGGAGAACCCCTTGACAAAAATCAGCAGCTTTTATCATTCCATGATAAAGTACTGTTAACTCTTTGCAAGTTAAAATTAAACATTACCTTCACTTGCATAGCTCTCTTATTTAAAATTCCTGAAAGTACATGCAGAAGATATTTCAAAGAAACATTAATTGTATTGGAGGCAGTTTTAAAAAGTGCAA